TTTTCGTCTGCTTGTCGTGTTTTATTGTTGCCATAAGAATAGTTGAATGGTTGAATCTAGAATGGTTGAGTTGTTCAGAAAAAAAAAGGATAACTTACGTGTGAATTGTGCAAGGGATTGAATCGCATTGGTAGTTGTTCAGTTGTGCAGAGTGCTGAAATAATGAATGCTTTCGAAGTGATTGTTTTGAGCGATTACCGCTCTTAGTGGTGGGTAGGTTGTTTAATGGATGGATGTCTGCCTCGTAAACTGGTAACGATTAGGAGAGGAATAAGGATAGCTGGTGGTTATGATCTGAAGAAATCGTTGGTTGAGTTAACGCTGCTCATTGGTTGTTTCAGAAGCATAGTCGTGCCTCAGTTTTATTGCAGAATTGAAGCATGATATGAGTTTCATGTGCAGCGATAATCGTGTCGTTGCGTTGTTCCGTGTCTGAACACCTCCGTACAAGTCAGCAATGTATCATTTTTGCGACGACTGATAGTTATACACCGAACATCGATTTCGATAAACAAGCACAAAATATGAATTGTTGTGATGATAGTGAGTGTAATTCATCGCTTTATCATTATCATTGTGTATCAGTGAAGTTACAATTTTTGTTGCACCTTCTAGAGTCTATTAATGCATAGAGTTATTTGAGAACCTTGCATCATTAATTATGACCTACACCGAGATCATATCAGTTGTTGAATAATGTTCTGAATAGTTTTGTTAGTATGAAAAGATGATTGAGTTAAGTCTTGTAAGCGCTTATCATTCGCGTGTTTATCACGAGTCTATCAGAATTTTCAATGCGTTTTTCGCGAAAACAATTGGATTTCAGTCAAGTGTTTAAGTGGTTCAATATTCGAGAGTTTCTTTTGGAATGGCAGAAAATATTTGTTGATTTTAACTGATAGTGAGCGTAGAGGAAAGGTGCATGGATATTATGCGAAAAATGTGAAATTTTTATTTTTTCTTTTGAAAGGTTTTTTGAAAATCGATACTTCGATTTGCGTATGTATTTATTTATGGAGCTGGCGCTGGTATGCTGTAAATTCGTTTATTTTTTCGATTGATGACGATATATGTACATATATGTGTTTTTGATGGCGTGAGTGTGTGCTGTGCTGGAGAACATTTAAATGTATTTGCGGTTTGACGTATGTTATGTGGTCGCTTAAAATTTTATTTCATTGTTTTTTTTTNTTTTTTTTTCTGATTGGCTCCTTTCAGATTTATTCATAATTCCAAGTAAAGGGATAGACTGAACGTTGATTGAAATAGATGATGAATCGGAAACGTTTGTTTTCATAATTGTTTGTATATATGTACATTCCAATTCATTCATTTAGCTGCTATTCCTTTCATTGTCTTATGAATTTTATTTCAGTTTTGATTATTCCATTTTCAATATGTGTTGAAAATGTGGAAATGTTTTTTGGATGTTCATTTACTCAGTTTGCGGTTGTTGAGATGATATTCTAGCGAGGTGGAGGGATATGAGCGTGAGTGTGTTTGTGTGCATTATGAAGAGTTACAGACAGCCGTTTGTAATTAGCATAACGAGTGAGCATTATGTGCGTGGACTAGTTTTTATTGCTTTTTATGTGCACATATCAGTACATCTCGAGTGAGAGAATGAAATTTGCGGAATGAGTTGGTTAGGGGAATAATGATTGCCACTGTTGTAGTTGCTTGCGTCTTTTGGGAGGGTGTGGTTCGCTTCGTGGAATTTCGTGAAGTGGTGGTGAACATGAAAGTAAAGCGAATTTATGATGTGTTGCAGCTTCTTCATATGTTAATCTCTAGATAATGAACAGAAAGAAGTATTACACTGTCGATCATGTGATGTGAAATGTGAATTAATTGATCATGTGACTTGTGAATGAATTTGTACGTTGTGCACTCGATGTTGTGCGCTCGCTATTAAGAAGGGCTTTAGGTGAGAACGGCTAGCGGCGAGCATCGTCATTGAGGCAGCAAAGAAGGTTCCATAAATTTGCTCTTGAAAACTAATAATTCTCAAGCACTGATGATGTGCCATTTAGCGGCACCGATTAGGCAGGCAGCCGTCCGTTAATTTTTCTATGCGAATACGTCGTCTTTTATGGGCCCAAAGAAGCTATCCATCTATCCAGCCGTCGTTCTAACTCATTCATTTCATCAGTCTGCGATTATATCGATCATTTCGTCTGGTCGCCTCACATATGAATACGTATGAATATTTCATGCATTTTTCGTGGCATTATATGTGAACTGTTTATAGCGAATTTGTTTCGGCAAGAAGCGAAAACGAGCAGCGAGCAAGCAGTGTTGTGCTCTTCTTATGTGCGTATAATAAAATGCAATTGACAAGCGGATATTTTAGATGCTCTTTATTTGTTTGCTATTTTTTATGTTGCAGATGATTCTTGCCGAGCTGTTCGAGTCGATGTGATACGCACTCGTCAGTTCCTTGCGTCGTTTCTTAAGTTTCATTCGAGCCATTTTCACTGCCCTTTTCAAGATTGATGATGAATTTTTTTGGGGGTCATGCTGGGGAGATGGATTCAGTGCTGTGTTAACAAATAAGCTCAATCTAATAACAATAAACATTCATCCTGAAGTATTGTCATTTGTCATCGCTATTTTCATTTAGTAGCATTTCGTAGCGATAGGGTTCTTGTTTGCGCACAGTTCGTCAAAATGAGTATCTTTCGTTCTTTTTTGTATTCTCATTTTGCTGCTATCCCATTATTTTATGGACAAATGCAGAGATATTTTACGTTTACACGTTTTGTGCCGTTATTCGGAAGCGTTCGAAAAGCTTCAGGAATCGAGCGAATTGTTTTGCATTGAAAAGATCAGTTTTCGATTCGTTTTTGTTGTGCTGTCGGTCGTTCATCTCACAACAAGCTTGTTTGTTGCTTTGATAAGTGACATTGGGCGGTTGATGGCTCTGAACAGATGGTTAATGCAGAAGCGAATGGTTTTCGTGTGAAATGGGGAATGGTAAATCGAAATTGTGCAGCGATTTTACGAGCACTTTCATTTCAACGTTACTGGGAAGAATTTGTGATTGTGAGCGATTCGTTCATTCACTGAGAGTGCAGTCGAAACGACTGCCAATAGGTTCCACTTCGAATAATTGAGGCATCTTCGCGAGAAGGAAAACTCTTGAGTAGGTGTTACTGTTTGTCTGCGTCACATTACGATAGTACGTGTTGAGGATGATATGAATAAGCGGCGTTCATTAACCACCACACATACTGTCGTGTTTGTTTTATTGCTTAAAATTACCGACATATTCTAATAGTCCACACCGCTGTAGGTTTTTGTATTACTTGTACATCGTCGTCGTCGTCATCGTCACTGACTTTGGCCTTTTAACAGCGATTTCTTTCGTTCAAAATCGAACTTTACGCTTAACTGAAGCACAGCCGAAAGAGCAGAATATAAGGCAGTGAATGGTGATCCTTTTGAATGCTTTCTTCGGTTGTTTGCTACATTGATCTGTATGTAAACATTTGTGCAGCTAGCGAGAAGTCCTTGAATGTTATTTGAATTTTGATGACTTCTGAATGCATTCTACGATTTTTGTTCTCCTGAAATCAACATCCTAGCTTCTTCACTCAATGTGATGATTTCAAGAAAACTTTTTCAATGTGAGCATGATGCTGGGAGCTTTAAAAATTTTGCATTCTTTCACTGTTAACAGCAATCAGTGATTGGTGATGTTCAAATTTGGTGTTGAAACGGTAGCATAATTATAAGTGAGCAGCTGGCTGACTCTCATTGTATGTACGCTAGGGAAGTGTTGTTCTGCTTGATTGGTACCCGTATCATCATGTTTGACGAAAAGACGGTCTGAGTGAGCATTGGCTGAACATTGATGTATTATTTGTGCTGGACTGAACGTGTTTATGTAGTTGTCAGGAAGGCGATGAGAAATTGCCGACTTATTAATGAAATGAAACACTTGATGTGGTTCGTTAATGATGCTAACTGACATTATGGATCAGCAGAATATTTGGTGTAAGAAACGATGAGAATATATGCTTTCAGAGAATATTCAGTGTGAGGGAGAACGTTTGAAAAGTGAACGGAAAAGCAAATAAGTATAGATGGAAGTGCGTTGTGAAGATAGTTTTTTTTTGTTTTGTTGAATGCATGGTATGGATAGCATCATCGAATGAATTAGTGCTCGCGACGTCAATTGAGCAGATTGTACTTCAGTGGGTTTGTCAAAATATTCCCTTGTTGAATGCGTAAATTATTCGAAACTCAAGAGTTGTTTTGGAGTAATTTAAAGTTCTCGTCCTTATCGCGATGATGTGTTCGATTCTTCAAAAGTCTCACCGCACTAATTCAGTTAGAAGTTGACTTATGCGAGCTGATTCATTTGATTTTGTGGATCGACATTATCAGTAAAGCACCGGATGATATATACAATTCCAGACAGCATTAAAAAGTTCTGAGATAGTTCAGTTTATTTCTTACTTGAAGTGCTGGAAGTACTTTCTGTTCTGAACGGCTTTTTGCTTTGGTTCACTCTTTCTTCTTGCCGTATCGTCTCAAGAGCATTATTACGAAAATAAAAACGATCGATTCTTTTCCGTCCTCGACTTGAATGTTCTGTTGATTCGTGTCGTGATTCTTTGGTTGCGTTTGTTTGCTTGAATGAATAAATGCTGAGTTATGTGAGCATAGAGAGAAATTGTGTGTATCGATTGTTGCGAATCGATATGCCATAGTGGCTTGTAAATTAGTGCGAATAATCAGTCTATGAATATGTTCAGTTTTGATTCAAATATTTATTCACTGCTGTTTTTTTGACAGATGCGGATTATACTTAACTTCAACTAGATATTCTTTCGTGTAATTGTTTGCTTGCGTTCACATTAATCCATTGCGTTATTAAGTTCGTGAATAACCATTCAGTTCAACTCATCCGTATCATTCGATCTAACCGCCCATAAATTTCGATCATCTTCATTTCTTCAGAAAAAAATCCATTTTATCCAAAAGTTTCAAATATGTATCGTTCCGAGTTGGTTATTGTTCGAGACTCGACTAACAGTGGCACAATTCGTCACATCTCTGTTTACTTTGAGTCGTATCCCTCATCTCATATGTCGTTAAACTATATGAATTTCTCCAGCTTTGTTTAAATCAACCTATATAATCCTTATCAAGACACATGATTAATGATTGTATAGATAAGTGCAAATTAGTGATGATATTGTTGTGTGTGATCCGATATGAACTGATAGGTTGAATGCATACGAAATTGTAGTGCAATGAAAATTTTCAGACTAGGCTACGCGCTCAGCCGTGGGCAGGTCATCAATATCACGGTCATCAGTCAACTCAGCAACAGCAGCAACAGCATCCTGGTGGCACGCATACCCGTAAATCACCGCTCAGCAGCACTAACTCCGGCAACCCCGTCAACCATCGTAATCCGAACACCATCACTATAACGTCGTCATCATCGCAGCATCATACGAATCCGCACGGCACCGCACCAACGTCGCTCTTGAATAGGAATACGCCCTTAGGGTATGCATTAAAATTCCTTATTAATAGTTCCAAATGGCTGAAGTTATTGGAAAATGTATGTGTTTGTGGAAAATGTGCGATAACTTTGAACATTAGCAATAAACGAATGATCGTATTGAGAAAAGAGATTGTGATATCGGCTATTTTTTTGCGTTCAGATGGAATTTGCTTGCAGGTCGTCGAGTATGTCACCGGGTGTGATGGGTCACTCATCGGCATCGCCCTATCAGCAGCAAGCGATGCACACCGGTGGCTATACGTACGGAGCACAAACGTTCACTCGTACACACAATCCATACGCAACTTATGTAAACACTTAATGTTTGAATCTCATTTCTCATCTGAACTAAATTATTTTTGATTTGTTTTGTTTTTGAGCATTTATTGTTCCTGTATATCCGATATGAAGCTTGAGATACGATACAATTATCTGATTATTGTGTTGTTGATTTGATTTTCACAGTAATGTAGAAGTTGTCGATTGAATGAGTGGTTTTTGTAATGGTGTGGTTGGATAAGGGTGTATAGGTGTTAAATTGATGTTGGCGAGGAGATTACGCCCGAAATCGGATGACAAAGGGTTTATGTGAGATTTTTAGTTTGAAATGAATTCACGTTCTAGATTGGCTGTTATTGTTGTTATTTGAAGAACGAAGTGTGTGTCATATGGTGAAACTTTGAACACTTCAGCCAGACGAACAATTGTATTGAATAGTTGAACGATTTGACAAGATTTAGTTTAGAGTAGATGCGTGTGTTGCTGAATGAACGAATTGATATGCTTACAGTATGAATGAGAATAAACAAGAGTGATTTCAAATAGATGAATGAATGTGTCTGCTAAGAGTAATAAGCAAATAAAAATTTACAAGCTCAGTGAATGACGTCGTGAAGTAATGAGTGAATAAGTGAAGAAACGAACGCACATTTCTAATGACTAGCTGTTTCCTACATAAAATAGCTCATGTTGTGCATATTACCTGATCATGACTACCGTAATTGTTTGGTTCAGCAACAACGTCACGCTTCTCATCAAGTAGCACACAACAACGCAGCAAGCCAAGGTAGTGTTGCATGCAATGGCTATGGTAACAGCCAGGCGACAATGGGTTGTTCGAGTGCAGGTATGACGAGCAGTAGTGCTGGTCATCAACGTTCAACTAACCGGGATAGTAATAATCCTTCGTCGAATCGAGATCCCAATCGAATCTCATCGTCATCTGCTGCAGGCAGCACACGCAATAATAATAATAATGATTCGCCGCATTCTGATGTTCCTCTCTCTTCTGTTAGTTGCTTTATTATTATTACTATTACAGTTTTTAATGTCTATACTGAAGTTGTTTTAATTCCGATTTCTGAAAATTCTTCCGTCGATTCATTCACGCATCGAAAGTCATTCGTGGTGCTTTTATTTCAGTTCGTTGTTGTTTCTTGATGTTGTCTTTAATTCTGATTTATTATTGGTTCGTTGAACTTTTGAATTCACTTGGAGTTAGATTTTTGATTCATTTGATCGATGATTGTTTATTTTCTGACTGTTTTAAATTTTTCTATTTTGTGGCCGTCTTGAAGCATCAAAAATATTGAGCAATTTTGCTTCAGCTGTTTATTTTTATGAGCAGTGAAATTGAACCATTAAAATGAGTAAATATAGTCTCATGACTCTGGAACGGCTCTAAAATTTTCACTGATTGATGATCACTATTGACAGGTGCAATTTATTGATTTTTGTGTTTTTTATGTGCTTATTTACAGACGAATGTTTATATACGTGGCCTCGATCCGAAAACAACTGATGATGACCTCAGGCAAAAGTGTGATTGTTATGGTGCTATTCTTTCGACGAAAGCTATTATGGTTGGTTTATGCGAGATGATTAATGTGCTTTGTTCACAGCTGATGATTTATGGAGCATCAACGCTGAAAACATAATTATTTTGAATGAACTCTCGATGGAATTCATTCTGTTGAGCCGAAAAAAAAGAATTTTATGTGCATTGTGTTGTGCGCAGAAACGTTCAGTCGAGAAACGAGAGCCGAAATGAACGAACACAAAAATAATATCGTTGAAGTGGTTGATAGCATGAATGAAATGCTTTAATTCATGATTTATTGATTCAGTTAACTCGAATGATTTATTGTTTTAATGAATAGAAGTAATAAAATACGGTGAAGTGCTATTGAAAAAATAACTGTCTTTATATGGTCGCAGCTGTCAGTTTCATGTCGTTATTGAAAGCTGAAAAAGAAGAGATGTGATATTTTCGGTCGTTCAGCGTAGCGGTTAATGTGCGATAACATTGCAAATGACCACTTTGAGAATTGTGGCATGAAGATCGTTGAGTGAAGATAATAGGGATAGTATAGTAGAAAGGGTAGTAATGATTTGATGTTTGAGGATAAGACGACTGGTCAGTGTAAAGGGTATGGATTCGTCGATTTTGAAAGTGCTGAGGCTGCGTTGCGTGCCGTTGAGGGACTGAACCAAGAAGGCAAAGTGCAAGCGCAAATGGCGAAGGTTCATTTATTGCTGTTGTTTACACGTTACCGTAGATGACAGCAAGAGCTTGAAAAAAAAGAAAGGATGTATGTGGCCATCGTAGCTCTTCTCATCGTTGAAACCTTTTGCAGCAACAAGAACAAGATCCAACGAATTTGTATTTTGCGAACTTACCCCCGAACTTCACCGAACAAGATTTACAAAAAACGTTGGAGCGTTTCGGAATGGTGATTAGCACAAGGATCCTGAAGAATCAGGATGGTGCAAGTCGGGGTGTTGGATTCGCGCGCATGGATAAAAAGGAACTATGTGATCAAATTATTCGAGTCAGTTCCTTGCAAATCTATTTGTTGTGTGTGTGCTTCTTGCTTTCATATTACAAGTATCTTGAAATATTGATGAGTTCAGACTTGAAACGGAATTGAGCATTTCTATGATATTTTGAGTTAGATTCACTTCAAAACATAACGACATTTCAGGAGATGAACGGCAAATTGTTCGTTAACAATAGCACCCAACCGTTGCTGGTGAAATTCGCTGATAGCGGTAAGAAGCCGAAAGCTCGAGCCGTGCCAATGGCCAGCCTTTACTCAAATGTTGCCCAAATGGAAATTCCTGTAAGTTGCAGTTGTGACTACAACATCCCATCTTCGATTGCTTCTCTGCAGAACCAATGAGCACTCGTTTGGTGAATTATTGAATTGTTTCATGTTTTGATGATGTCAATTATTCGCCTTTCAGCAGTACTACACGAACGCTCAATACGAGCAACTAAACGGTGGTTACCTACGTGGTAGTCCTGCAACGGCAATCCCCTATATCATTCCTGCACCCTCTCAGTATGTTCTGAATGCACAACCTCAATATCATCACGTCATACCAGGTTGGGCAATTCATTATTTTGTGCGAGTTGAGGGAATATCTGTGCAATGTTTCGATGCTGAATTGCTTTAAAGTTGGCTCACTAAATGTGTTCAGTTGTTGTTGCAAATATGCAATGGGTTAAGACTGAACATGACATTGCAGGCTTTACAACGGACGCTCAATTGAGTGGTTTAACGTCACAACTGCATAATATCTCACTGGCGAATGCGAATGCAGTTGTATCGCAGCCGGGTACCGCTGACATGAATGGCAGTGGTACGAACGCAACAATTGCCGCATTGACGGCTGCGGTGGCTGGTCAACCCACCGCGCATACTTCACATTTACCACAAATGGCTGCTATGCATCCCTCCTATACCACATATCCTGTCTATCCATATCCGATCCAGTATAGTATGCAGGTGTGTTTGCGGAGTTTTGATGGTTTTACTGAAGTTTATCTTATTGAAGTCTTTATATACGATACCTGTATGAGAAGTAACGCTATTTTCAGAACGTATACTTTGTATCAAGTAACGCTATTTTCAGAAAGTATATTTTATATCAAGTAACGCTATTTTCAGACGGGTGATCCAAACATGGCCACAGTAACGATGGTTCCATCGGCCACTCCACCAACCGGCTATGTTCCAGCCGGTGATATGTTGATTCACACGGACGGTACTTCAATATACGCCAGTCAACCACCACCCCCTCAGCTTGTCAACCAGTCAGCAGCACAACAGCTCGCGGCTGCTGGCATGACTCAACAAGCTATCGCCACAGCACCTTCGAAGTAAAGTAACAACCTAGCATCATCACTCGAACACAATGGATATTCATCATAATATACGAATTTAATAATAGCCGAAATATTTGTTATCATTACAATTGTTGTTATATCTTCTTTTCGTCGTTTCAATCGTCGTCATTCTGAACATCATCAATAAAATACACCAAATAAGTAAATTCCCCAAACCGAAGTGTCTTCGAATTTGTTTTGTTTTTCGTTGTTCGTTTAATGAAAATTGTGTTCTTTTTTCTGTTCCGTTTTTTTTTNTTTTTTTTTCGTTCGTGATGGCCTCTGATCGCATTTGTTTCTTTTGCAATTCTTTTTGCTTTTGATAATGTCGTTTTTCATAGTTGTTTCACACCGTTCAGTTTTTTTATGTTTCCTGTTCCTTTTTCTCCAAAAAATTCCTCTTCTCTTCGTTCCGTCTGGTCTTTTCGATGGTGTCGTTCCGTTTCATTTCTGTACTTTTGTTGTTGTTCGGAACAATTGGTCGGTCGGTTTAACTGATTGATTTCTCGTAATCGATTGATCGGAACTGCTGTCGTCACTCGATCGCCATTCGTTGTGCCCAGTTGATTGCAATTAAGAGTTGATAATTGGTTTTTGATCATTCATCGTCGACTCTATTCGTTGTCTTCCGCACATCGCACTTATCTTCTTAAGGTTCATCCTCTCTCCACTTTATGTAATACTAATTCCACTACAGAACTAATTTATTATTGTACTGCTTTATTTCTTTACTTTGGAGCATTTCAGTTCTCTTCAAAGTAATTCTGTTGTATATAGTAAATTTGTTCAGCCGTGCTACCTGAGTTGAGAATAAATTATTTGCGTTAAACAAGAACCAGGAATTTTGAAGTGATTTTGATCGTGCATTTGAAGTGAGCACTTCGGGATTTCATTGGATGATTCAAGCATTTATTAGGATAGGAGTTCAAGTGTTTGTTTTGAAGGCGTTACTGCATAGCGCAGTTTGAAGTCCTTTTTTTAGTTAGAGGTAAAGTCTATGTTATGTGCTGCGAGAGTTGTTGAGCTTGTTTTTTCGATGTGTGATCATGATGCATGCAATAGTGAATATTCAGCACAGTGATTGTGTGATGACTGATGTTCAGCTGTTTTTTGGCGTTTCGATTTGTTATCGTGCAGTTTGACTGATTCATTGATCCATTCTCCACAATCTAATAATATGCATCGTATTGTTTTGGTGGCAGCAATTCGCTCTTGTTGACGACTAATACATTTTTGATTTAAGTGATGATTCTCTTCGTTGAGTAATCTTTGCTAATCGTTGAAGAAACGGTTACACGATTTCATTAACATGGAGCGGAGCGCAGAAAGACGAAACTGAGTGAGATGATGTTTTACTCGATTCAGATGTTAGATGTTAGCAGAGAATCGGATGTGTGTATATTTTGTAAATTTGTTTTCTTTTTCAATTTGTTGATTTGTTTTCTGATAATATTTTTGCTTTTTCGTTTGTGATGGATTTCGATTGTATCGCGGCGAATAAGTGAACATTTTGTGCTAACAGGTTTCCATCTATGATTCATCGGGAAATTTTCATTGTCATCAGCAAGCACCTTGCGGGAAGTGTGTGTTTAAATTTAGGTTTAGATGAAGTTTAGTTCGAAGGTTGGCTGTAGCACAGTGCTGATGAGGTGACTGAATTCATCGTTGATGTGACAGTGAGCGGTTGGTTCTTTTGGCTAGCGCGCTAGGTGAGCAAACTGAGTTGATTAGGATCAAGAGGGAAAGGCGGAATGAACATTTCCGTAACTGTGCAAGGTTTTTTGACGGAATTTTTGGTGTGTTGAGTGAAAGGCATCGTGCATTACTGACTGCTGATAAGGAACTGATAAGCGATGAATGCAAAAATTCAAAACACTGCGATATTCTCACTTTGGACACAAATATCTTTGAGCATCGTTTAATTGTTTTATTGGTTACTGTCTGATGTCTCCATTGCGTCAATCATTCATTTTGGATTGCGTCAATGATTCGTTTTGGTAATCACTTCTATCGAATTCTAACTTTCTATTGATCATTTGATTCTACTATATGCATTAGCTTTACCTTCAAGAGTTTCGGTTTACGATCGATGCCGTTTTGTTTTTATAATCGATACTTTATCATGATGCGGTGGTAATAACTGACATCTTTATAGGCGAGATCTTTTTCGTGATTATTTTATGAGAAAAACGCATTAAAATGAACCTGTCCACGCATACTTCGATGGCATTCTATACTCTCCATTCACTCTTTTTACTTGCACTCTACTGGAAATAACAAAAAATTAAATGTCCGAATTCTATTAATATGTTTTGAAGTAGGCTGAATGCTCCGAAAAATTATAGTCGTTTTGTGAAAACGTTGAGAAGTGATCGACAGGAAGGGGAGGGAAATATTGCGAGGGGTCCGTTTTTGATAGTAAGGAATGCGTAGCGCTGATGCAATGTTGTGGCTTCATCTAATGTTATTTGGTACCCAAAAGCTGATAATTTCTGAAAGTAAACATCCTGTTTGCTAGCAAAATGTGATGGTTTTTGTTTGGCGATACAAAGCGACATGAAAGGAGGGAGTTGAGCAGATGTGAAGCTGAAGTGAGCCTCTATGGAGGTGAATGTATGTAATCTCTCAACTAGTGATATCGATTTCATTTCTCGAAATTTTCGTTTTTTTTGCCGTCTGTCTGTTTGTCTTGAAATGTTCGATTGATTGATTCATTTCGTGAAAACTTGCACAAAGAAGAAAAAAGTGTTTATTCCGTCATTGTTTTGTTTGCATTGCAAAGGTTGAATTGATTGGTGATTCATTTTGTTGTTTTGTGTGTGTTTTTATGATCAGTGATTATTGTTCGAAGTTGCATTCGTGTTACGTATGAAGAGGCTTTCAATGATTGCGTCTTCCTTGATTTTTTTATTTGTTTTGTTTGCATTTGAATTCGTTTCGTTTTCTGTAAAGAGTGATATTATGTCGTGAATTCGATGTGACCTGATTCAAAAATCAGTCCGATCCCATCAGATCCATCCGATGTTTCTTTTTAAGTAAAGTGATCAGTGGCGAATGTTGTTTCTGTTAGATCTCGAGGTATATGCTGGAAACAAGTTGGAAAAGTTCCGTGTTTAGGATGTCAATCTTATCTTTTGATGGAATAGGAAATGTGACATTTTTAGTTTTGTTTATTGAGGCATCATCAAAGGCATCATCTTGAGATTGTGTTCTTATAGAGCAGTTGGAATCGTTAGTATGCATTCAGTATGTTCGATGATGAACGTTATGCATCAGTGTTTAAGAGCCGTTTTCTGTTTACTTTCAAAGGATCAGAGCGGTGATTGAAACAATTCTTTCGCGTTCTTATCAAAAATGCAAGAAAGTTAAATAGAAATTCCTCTCAATAACCGAAGATGAACCATTTGCGATAAAGAATTGGGAGTTGAAAGTTTGAGGAAGGACAGTTGAATAATTTATGGAAATAAAAACAAAGACGGTGAGGAACTTGGGATGAGTTTAGTCGGATTTTTGTGTTTTGGACTGGTCATTGTGCAGAGGCGTTCGCTGAAGACTGAATTAATTGTCGGTCAGCGATCATGATTAAATGAAAGAAGTGTACAAAAGTGCTGTATTGTATTGTTGTTTTCTTCGAGGAATTAATTATGATACGAGTGATAAAGTTGTTAATGTTGTTGTTGAAGGTGTTGTCGTTGTTGTTGTAATAATTGCTTGCAGAGAGGTGTTTTATTGTTGTTATTGTTGAGAGTTTGGTGCATTATGCAAGTTTTGTGCACATCTATTCATCCATTGCTGCTGTTGTATCATCGTTTATTGAACTGTTTGTTTTATAAATTTTATATTGACATTATTGATGATTTCGTTGGTTTGGAATGGTTCAGTCGTTTGTGTATTGAGTGGTGGTAGCAATTGACTTGTGTGATTTTCATTTCACTGAGGTGATCATCAATTTGAGGATAAAATCTGGTAGTGTTCGCTTGAATATTCTGTATTAGAGGTATTTGATAGGGAAGGTGCAGTGTTGTGATTCATCTGATAAGGTTATCAGTGATTGGAGAAGGCGCCTTTATTATTTTGACGGACGGTGAAATATCAGTCACCTCTCTAACCGTATACATTTCCTAACGTTGTGTTCATTTCACTCTTCTGCTCCGTACAATTTGCCATGAGCGGCTGGCTACCTTCTCCATGAAATATTTTACTAAACTCAACATCATGTTTTAACCATCGATCACAAACGAACTGAATCTGTTTCATTTTACTTCTGCAGTTGTTTCTTATTCTCTCGTTTGATCACTTTCTTTGGATTTGCAATTGTCTTCTGAAAGCTGATGATTATCGTTGTTTTCTTGTTATTATTCGAGTATTCTTTTTCGTCGAAATGTTTCGAGTTTCAAATTCGATTTGATTTGTTATGATTTCTATTGATTCTGTTGAATTTTGGAAGAATATTTCTATTTTATATTCATTCATCATTACCGTTGGTTTGAAAACGTTAATGTCGTTTCCGGAAAGCGTTCAGATAATAGTGATTTGTTTTTTTTGACTTTTGTTTGGCTTTTCGTGTGTTTTCGTTGATTGATTAATTAAATTCTATTCTCTTCGATGGATTATTGTATTGTTTGTTCCCTTTCCCTATATCCAATAACAACAAAAATATTCTTCGTTAGCCCTCACGTCCCCATCAGTCAGACGCACGTTAAAACTCCAGTTTTGGCTTCGATTAATCATTATTATTAATTCCTACTGGTAGTGTCCTCTATTTCTACTTTTCTAGTGTGAGAATGCCTATTTCGATGGAAACGGGAACAATCATTTGTGTATGTGTGTGTNTGTGTGTGTTTTTTAATTTTATGGTTGAGTTCTTAAAATTGAATTCGTTGTGAGTCTTTACAGTTACATCATTGTATTCTTTCTGTGTCGTTATTGTTTTTGAGTCGTTCTTGTGAATTTATTGTAAATACGGTGCTTCATCAAGCATTACGTGCTCTCTGCAAACTGCTTTTGAAAGTTAGACTGATAGGGTGGCGGCATTATTTTCAGCGATTGAGTCCCCGTGGATGATTTCAGTTCAATGAGGTTTCCTTGGTGATTTAACGTAAGCTTTTTCTTATCCATCTAGCCCAAGCGCCAATACAGCCCTCTCAAAAAGCAGTGACAGTGAAGAAGATGAAGTGTTGTGTTGTTGTTTTTCGCAAGATTGAAACTTCGATTTGTAAACGAAGCGGTTGATCTGTATTTGGTCTGTTTGATGATCACAATTTTTTTACTTGTTCTCTTGCATGAATGAGTTGGATTGGATTCTGAATTGAGTTGTTGTATCATTGAATTTTTGTGTTCGTGAAAGATTCTTCTATGCATTTGTTCTCACTGGTTTATTTCCCCGACGAGCTTCAGTTTGCTCCTTTGGAGGCATGCGAAGTTTATGAAATCTAAATTTAATTTGAAATAATTTTCTACGCCAAAATTGAATCTCAGTTTTTCAATGACTAAAATTTTGATGAATCACGTTTGGCAATTCAGAAGTGATTAATGCGGCAGCTTTCATTTCGTGCTGGTTGCTTAATGCAGAACAAATTTGATCTGCGTTTTTGTTTTTAGAATTAAGCACATTCATGATAAGTTAGAAGACGTAATCGAGATATAAAACTTGTGAGGTGAAGAAATGGGATGGAATTCTGCATTGAGCCATGCAAACACAAAAATCAGTCGTTTTCCAGTTGTGTGTTTGTATTTTTTCGTTTTGAAAAAGATTTTGTCGATTTTGTTAATGTGTTTGGATTCTGAGTGGTCATGATTCTGGTTTTATTGCGTTGAATGCGTGAAATGAAAATAAAATCGTTTTGAATTATTCTTTCACGTTGAGGATTTGTCGTCGTGTTTTATTTCCTTTTTAAGTTTGTGTTGTTTCTGTTGTACAGAATTTGTGGTTCGTTTTTCGAAATATTTTTCCTATGTTCATTTCGTTTCTTCTCGTTTTTCCTCAATGCTCCATGTTTTGCTTTCGTTACGTTGTGATGGTTGAATTGAGTGTTGAACATTGTGACATTCATCTCATAGCTACACTGAGAGTGAGTCGTTTATTGATGGTAGATGAATGTGAATGCGCGAGTTGTTTTTGAAATTATCGATTGTTCGTTGGTTCGATTCTTTGAGAATTGAACTGAAATTTTTTTATTGAATTCATTGATGAATGATGTGCCGTTTGTTTGAAGTTTTTTCATTCTTATGAAACTATAAAAATTTGAGGGGAATTTCGTTTGTTTGTTTGTTTGTTTTTCGCATTTTGGATCCTTCTTTTAATTTTTTTTCTGAGAATTCCCTAACAAATTGAACGTTGACATCAACATTCGAACACTGTCACTGTAAAACTGGTTGTGGTCAATTGTGATCAGAAAAATTTCAAGATATCACAGTGGTGTCGAGTAGTCGCTTTGCTCCGCATCATCTCACGATTAATCACTCACCAACTCTACCTGAGCAGTTGAATTAGAGAATTTGCCTTGAAAGTTGAGCTGACAATGAGAACAAATGCATTTTGCAGTGAACGAGGTGTTTTCTTCATGATGTGTCGTTGAAGTTTTGAAAGCCGGTTTTCGAAACAATCCCTTGGTTGTTCATGAAACAAATGTGAAAATATCACTTTTGGAATGAGTTGATTGATATGTCAAGTAATTTGTAGTAATTGAGCTTTGGAAGTTGAATAGTAGAGCACGCAAATTTGCTGTTTGGTCTTCAAATGAAGTGCACTTTCGAGATGGAACGAAGCAAAACAAGATGGAATGGCTGTTGAGTGATTTGGGAAATGTAGAAGATTATACGATGTGTTGTAATGTATTGTATGATAAGAACTGTGTTCAATCGTAGGCATTTACGAACGACGAGTGTGTTGAACGTCGTTAGTTGTGTCGTAGAGAAACGTTAGGTGAATTCTTCACTGGGAGTCATGATCTCTGATCATTACCTCAGTTGTGCTGCTACGATTTGCGTCACTTCACTTCATTTCCGCCATTCATCAAAACATCGCTACGTGGTTTCTCTCATGTGCAATCGTCAACTTTGCGTATTCACTGTCTTTGAAGGAAATCTTTTCTTTTTCAGAACTTTTCCACTTATGTTTGTCAGTATTTCTGCAAAAGAACTTTTGAAATGATACAAGCCGATCGGTGAAATCTCAAAAACTGTTTTCGAATTACTATTTGAATTCAAGCAGCGTGGTTGATCTGTTTTTTTGCTCTAGAAATAGCCAAAAGGTCGAAAACAAAGAAGTTACTGCGAGAAAATTTTAGGAGAAATTTGAAATTGCAAGCGATCTTCTAATGAATCACTTAAGTAACGTATCAATCACTAATCAGCGTTGAGATACTGTAACTTCACTTCAAAGCTTGTAGCGATCGCAGTTATGAGAAGCAAGAAGATTGTAGATGAGAACAATTTGTAAGGAAGACGGAAAGACAAATTCTTGAAGATGCACTTTCGTTGATTCAACACATTTAATCAGTTATTGTAATGGTCGTATCGTCGGGAAAAGATCCGCGTCTGATAAGCAATTGATTGATTTAGATAGCAGTGGCGTGACCATAGTGATGAGATTCATTTAATTTGATGAAGCTAGACTCTTGATTACTATATATGGTTTCCATCAAATTGTCCATTTAACGCCCACAGACTATTCGTGTTTTAAGTCACCGTTTACGCATCCTTTCATTACAAGAATTGCGAAAGAAATCATTCCAATCCCATAAAAGGGAACTGAGAGATCCACAACCACAACACAGTTTCTGCTTCAAAGGTGCAGAATTTCTAGATGTAGAACAGAGTTTTATGACTCCTTTCGTGCTTGCTCGAATCGCAAAATTGGATGGGCTCTATTGACTTATAGATGAAGCCACTAGAAAGTTTAGAGAAATACTTCAGGAAAAGTCCAAACGATAGAGTGTGTGTGTATGTATTCCTTCATTACGCATTCACCATACCAGATAACAGTAACCCTAAAAGATAACGATGTGATGAAAATGATAAATTATGCAAATGAACATCTTATAACCAACAACAAACACCCATTAAAAAAGATATCGAATGTTTAACTATCGCTGAGAGCGGCTGTCTCGCAAATTCGATGTGAAATGATCTACGAAAACATTATTGATCTGTTGCTATAAATTCGGTGATCACAGCTCGGTGTACGTGAACGTTAATCCATCGATTCAGTAAGCCGATCAGTGCCGTGATTGAAACGTTTTGAGGTGATTTGATCTGTATGCGCTCAAAGTGCGAAACAGATGGCATGGATTGTATGAATGATGTGTCTCCGATGTCAGATCCATTCCTGTGTCTCAACACTGACCTGGACGACGTTAGCGGTACGTTACTACTCACTTTCTGCAACTGAGCAAAATTACCGCAATTGCCTCAATTGTTTTACCGATTACCTCAATTGCTCACTCGTGCAATTGTTGCTAAAATTTGAAATTGAACCCGAATAACGGTTGTAGCTGGAGAAGGCGCTTTACATGAGCGTTCGTCGACTCTTAAGTGGATGTTTCCAAAGCATACATGAAGATTGTTTCTTGAAGCCTTGAAGGGGTTGTTGAATTTGAAATGAGCGCAAGAAACGAGTACAATTCACATGAATAATCTAAATGCGCACTGATAGTTCATGATAAGTGCTCTTTTCACAGAAGTGATTCGTAGTAATTGGGCTTGTCGAACCGAAATGTCAACCACAGATATGGATCTATGGTCTGAGATCAATGCTGTCGAAACACCGTCGAACAATGATCCTTTGCTGTCTTATGGACAATTCCACCATAATGTTAACAGTAATCATTTGCAACAGTTGCCCCTCGATACAAATACGTAGGTTCCTTCTACCAACCGAAATTGGCTTGAATGTTAAGAAACTGACGTTAGAAATGAAGTTGTAAAGCAATATGTAAATAGAAGACTCCGATCAGTAGTGAACAATGGCTCTTGATTAAGTGTTGCAGTGCATCTGATCGTGAGTGTGTTTCTGTTCGCTGTAACATTTCCAATGACACATCAGATTATTATCAGTATCAAAGAAAATCAGTGAAACTCAGGTGTAAAAATATCGGCTCAATAGTGTCCTCATTGCAAGAAGGTGATCAAATGTTCGGTGCATCGCAAAATCCTCGTCATCACTATCATCAGTACACTACAAACGAATATCTGAGCTATCGCGATGAGCAATTGGTAACCGACTGCATTATGATAAAAAAGAAAACCTTTCATAGGACAGCTTTGAATTGGATTTCAATTGTCCAGTTCACATTCAATGCCTCGTTTCGATCAAATCCTCATGAAAGTGACGAAGGAATGAGTGAAATTCAGTGATATCAGAAAGGCATTTATTGTTTATTGTGAAGAATGTTTACTGTCATTGACTGAATCCGCTCTATCTATTTTTGCGAATTACTTCAGATATTACCATCAATAAACGGTATCGATCACGCAAATGTAATCAATCCCGTGCATAACCTATCGTTCCCCACTGCAGCTCCACCACTTTCTAATCCCTCTTCTACACAACAGAATGCCCAAGCAAATTTCCAGAAGATGGTTGGTTTCCGTCCTATGCAGCAGCATTTTCGTTATCCATTACTTTCACGAATTCATTCATCAATTCAGTCTATGTCAGATTTTGAAATTTGTCAGTCAAACCGTCAGTACTCTGATCTTGAACTTTAAATAAATCTGCTGATCGTGAGCCTCTCAATCGCTCAGGCATTAATCTTTTGCCTAACAAAAATAAACTATCGTTTCATCTATCACACCTTCATCCATTATCAACTGTGTTCTGAGCGGATCTTCTCATCAGTGTTCTTGATTACAACCTGATTATGATCAGTGCGTTTCAATTTCGAATGTGTTGCATGCAAAATGATCAGTGTGAAATCGCCATGTATGAAGGACGAATCTCGAAGGCTGATGAGAAGTTTGTGATAGTGGAATCTGCTAATGGGAATCGTTAAGGTTCCATTGAATGGTGAACGTGTTCCAACTGTGGATATGAACAATGTACACAAACCGTACATAACAATGAAGCAAGAACTATGGCACAACGAAACTGAGTTGACTTCGAACGGCCAAACGCATAACACCAAGCAAGAACTGCTCGATCTTCTGGCTAGTATGACACCAGCTGAGGTGAATCCTTCTCAATCTTTCTAGGCTACTCTACTTGCTAACATCGCGGTCAAATTGTCCCATCTCCTTTCAAATGCAGCTTCTATGAGAGACAAATGCAACTTGCTGAAATTTTCACATTATTTTTCTTAGGAATCGCCCTCTCGCCATGCCATTTTCATGAGAAACAGTGTGATTGTACAAGGAAGTCTGAATTCTGGCGAGGAATTTCTAAGCTGAGAAAAATTATCGTTTGAAGTCGAATTCTCAGGTGGAACGTCTGCGTGCCGCACGGCACAATTCAGCGGTGCCTTCGTCTGCATCATCACCACCATACGTCAATCGTAAGGGGCATCCAATGACGGTTGGTGTTGCTACAAAGATGCCATTAACGTGTGCAGTTTCGAATCAGATCACAAATAATAATGTCGATTTGTGTTCGCCAGCCACAACGCAGTCGTCTGAAAACAGTAGTTCAATGCTATCACCACGAACCAGCTCATCAACTGCTTCTGCCGATATGACAATGGATACGAACGATTCGGATACGGATGGCGATTCTGGAACAGCAACCATACCACGTACCTAATATCTATATTAGCACTGCTCCGGAAAGGATTAAGTGACTAAGTTCAAAGAATATTCAACGCATCAGTTTTTATATGCTTTCCACTTTAAGGGCCAAAAACCGAAAGACGTACCGCACACAATTTGATCGAAAAGAAGTACCGCTGCTCCATAAACGATCGTATACAGTGCTTGAAAACAATGCTTACTAGTGAGAACACTAAGGTGAGATCTTTGCAAAGAGTATTATGATTTTAATTTATGCATTACTGAAGCTTGAAATTTTGATTGATAATGTCATGATGTTGAATTTATCCATTATCTTGCTAATTGCTTCTTGCGTTCTTGGATTTTTCGATTTTTTCTTTTCAAAGAATACCAAGACGATATCATAAAGGCAGTGTTTGGTGTCAATATGAAAAAAAATTCATTGGCATGTTTTGAAATTCGTTTTCTCACTAGTAAGCATTGTTTTCTCGTCAAGATTCTGAAAGATATGTGATACTTGAGTGATGCGTGTGAATCTTTCAGCTCAGTAAAGCAGCTACACTTCGGAAAGCAATCGAACACATATCAACATTACGTCAAGAAAACGAACATCTACATCATGAGGTTATCAGTAATCGGATCAAATTCTTTGCCTGCAGCCAATTATACCTCCATCGATTCATTCGACCAGAATCAGAATATTCTTTGAAATTCAATGCGTTTTGCAGGTTGAACGGTTGCGTATGCTTTTGAGTGTAAACCGTATCGAAGATGTAGGTGCTCCGGTTTCTATCATTCCACCACAGAATTCAAATTCGATGAGCAGCCCACTATCAAGTCCGGTAATCGCTTCGGAAGATTCTCATCAGTTTTCTCATGATATCCACGAATAGGATTCATCACCTCATTCAAGTCACTCACTTCTTCCTCAACAACTCCTCATTTTATTATACTTCCGCCACTCAACAACTTTTATTTCTCGTATGGATCGTTATTTCTCGTGATAATTGGCTGATTTGACCAGTTTTAATATGTCCCAGTTCTAGGCTTTATTGCATGTATAAGTAAGATAGCACAATATCCATCACCAGAGGAGCTCGTTCCGACGAGGAACATAAAAATGAATAAGACATCAAAAAATTCAAGAACGAATCCATCATCAGGATCCATCACCACGTGACTACGTTCCTCGTTCGTCGTCGAAAGCGAAGCGATCACGTACAATGGTGGATAAATCTCGTGTCGCAATGCTCGCGTTCATGTTTGCGTTGGTCATCTGGAACCCAGTATCACTCTTCATTGATTCCTCATATCCAACTGCTGCTAGTGACGCCATTCTTCGTCCAGTGATGCCTGGACGGTCATTGCAACAAGTTGTTGACACTGTACCCTTTGATACTGCTGGTAATTCCTAGCGCCTTTTCATCCGTGTGCAATTCATTCTTCAGAATTCGTCAAAAATTAAAATCATCAAAATGTCCTTTCATCTATTTGAAATAATCCTTTCTTTTTTGCTCAGTGCGCTCTGTGATAACCTCTCCGAGGCACTCTCTCAAGTAAGAAATATGAACAATTCAACGATTGAAGAATAATTAGATTCTGCATGGCTTCAGAAGCTGATACGATATGGTGGCGTGACTCAATAGTACGTCCTTGTTTCGTATGGTCGGTGAACATCTTCATTGTATTCTGTTTCCTGACCCGTGTTTTGGTCTACGGTGAACCTGTTGCGGATTCGAAATCATCATCGTGGACTCTGTTCTTGACTACCAAATCAACCGCTGATCGATTCATAAAACTCGGTAATTATAATGAAGCGAGCAGACAACTGAAAGAATGTTTGAGGGTATGTTCTACGTTGGCTCGACTGTTTTGCTGAAAATTATTCGGGCATGAAACTCACCTCTGAGTCTGTACAATTTTGAATTCCATTTCATTATAGGTACTTGAAAGACCGCTGCCAACGACGGGATTCGACGAATTGGTATCAGTGGTATGGCAGGTGATCAGGCATTTGCTGAACAGTGTCTATCTGGGTCGATGGTTCGCACGTAGAAAGAGATCACCAGCTAAACCGGTCACTGTAGTGTGTAGATCGCACGCTTATACGGCACTCATTTACCACCAACTTCATCAGGTCTCTACTCAGATAGATACTTGATTCTACTATTGTCACTTCACTTCATACTGTATGAAAATCGACACTGTCAACAAGATAATTTATTTTAAGATTCGATTTTCGAACTTCGTTTGAAATTGCTTCATTTGAAACAAAGAACAACGAAAATTTTAGTTGCATCTGATCGGTGTTGAAAGTATTGGCGATGGTCTGACCGGATTGAATTTGGCTCTATCGGCCGTAAATCTTGCCGAATCTGCGGGCTGTTCAGCTGACGGTCTGTCGCACGCACATCGCGCTGATATCTATTTGAATACGGCTGTGAGAGTTCGGATCACTTTACCTCGTTTCATAGGTATTGTGTTGTGATGCTGTTGCTTAGATTCCATTTCTCATGAGAAGCACAGAACCGTAACGACGGCTAGTCTATGATCGCCGTATTGAAAAGATTTTGATATGTAAAGCTGTGCAATGATCAATACTAATTAACAGCATGCTGGATTTTGCGTTATCAAGCGATATTGAAGCAATAGTTTGCAGGCATACCGCTCTACTTGTACTTTATGCGTCGTGCACGAAGTCATGCACGCCGTGCTGATGCAGCTACAATTGAGGGTATTTCTTGGGTATTCCATCCGTTGTCACGCAAATTCCTTTCATCGCGAAATCTTATCGACTATATTCGCGACAACCATCAGAATCATTTCCCATTCATCAAAAATCATCCTTCAAGTAAGATCAGTCGATGTTTTTCAAATCTTTCAAAAAAGTTCTTCCAAAACATTTTCCTTTCTATTCATCTATAATAATCTTTTGAGTTGAATTCCTGATTGTGAGAGTGCATTTTTGCATATCATAGAATCATTGATTCACTCTGCTTTATAGAAACTGTGAAAATCAGATGCCGATTTCAACTGATCGAGACATTTTTGAAGTAGTAAAATTATGAAATAACTTTATTTGGTCCTGCAAACATCTATTAAAGATTATTTCTTAAATCTACAAAAAGAATTTGTGCTTGCTAATTTGTTTCGATTGAAGAATTGATGCCGGGAAGGACAAGATGATAACTGAAGTTCTACCATAAGCTATTATAAGTTCGAACTAGAACTTCATCAAAGAATTATAACGTTACACATTGTGATATTTCTCATTCGCAGTCTGATTCTTCCACACCAAAAATTAAGTGATTTCAGTACGACCTTTTGAGCGTTTAACGTCAGCCTTCAAAATGCAGCTTCTCACAACTCTTCTCAATCAACTATCAGCACCATCAGTCCCCTCAACGAACATGCAGTTTGTTGATGTTTCACACCTGCTACTTACCATCTGCACGGCCGTCCCACAGAAGGTGCCAAAAGGTAAATTCAATCTTATTATTAACTGCAAAAAAGATCGAATATTCGAATATCTATTGATGGAGAACTCACTTCTGAACGCTAACAGTGACCTACTTTTGTTTTACTAACAAAGTTAAAATTTCATCAGGTTGAGATGAAATATCGTTGCAGAAAGATCTGGTACAAAATCATTAGTTTAAGGATCCATTTATTTGGATGAATTCACACTGAATGCAAACGGCGATGAGTTATGTACGTGGTGGACGCATTTATTCACTTGCGCTTTGTACTGGAAACATTTGGATAACGGAAATGCTCAAAAACATTACGCACTCGTTCGAAACTGTCCATCTCAACTGCTGAAAAGGTTATTTTTCGCAACTTTCAGCAGTTTTTTTGTTTGTTCCAATGCAGGTAGTGGTTTACAAACTCGTCCGAATACGCAAGAAGGATCTAGAGGAAATTGCAAAATATCTACTTTATGATGGCAATACGAATACATTCGCCTTTTTAGTGTCAAACGAGAGGAGTCGTCGATTTCTTTATGTGAGCGGGTGACATGAAATTAATAGCTAAATTAATAGCTTCTAGCAGTATGTACGATGTAAGCGCTCATTTAATGTGATGATTCGTTTGATGAATTACAGTAACCTATCGTTGGCAATCGGTCATGCATTCTGTAGTCGAAAGCTGTGCATGGATGATCGTGGTAATAGACACTTCCAGGAGGTCGTCTGGGCGAATGCGCTACGATCATATTGCTCTCTGCAAAGAATTTCTGAGTGTGACGCTAAAACCTTGTCAACAATTTCACCAGCTGCTACCATTGTGCATGTATGTTCCTTTACTAGTTTTCGTTGAGCAGCATTACCGTGAAATCGCACACTTTTCTCTTGTGAATTACATTTAAGAATACAACTTCTATGAAGAGTTAGCCGACTGTATCATCTCACATCTCAATCGCCAAAATTAACGAGTTGATTTCATACTTTCTGTCTCCATCATCGAGAATATTCATGTTCATACCTTGAACTGTATTCTGTTGCATAAATTTTCCGTAATGAAGATATTGTTTTTCTTTTTCTATAGGATATGGTAGTGAGTGTTTCACTGGAATGGTTGTTATTGAGTATCTTGGATGTGTGGTACTCACAAATGAGTATCATAAAACCGTATTGGGAACAGACACCAACTCAGCAGCTTAAGCAACTCTACGAGAATGCATTTGTTCAGTTCAGAGCAATTGCGCGTAAAACCAACGGTTGTTCGCAGTTCAAGGTTACCTTTGATCGTTCAACTTCTGCAAGTTTGCCTAACACTCGCATTTTCATCTGCTGCGCATTCAGAGGACAAGAAACATCAAATTCTGAATAAATTTATTTCACTTCGCATTTGTGCAAAACTGATCTCTTTTCACTATCAGTCTAACGAGATATATGATTTTGCGAGATGTAGACGCACTCATTCATTGTTCTTGGATATTTTCGAGAAGAACAACATCAAACAAATTTTAATGCATGATTTTACGCAATCGCTCATGGTTATGCATTATGAGAGCAATGGAAATCGCAAACTCCGTGCGTCATCGTTTCTCTGAATAGGGGCGAAATAATGGCCGTTCAGAAAATTGAATAGAAGCGATCAAAATGATCTTTGAAACTGTGAAGCATATGAATTTTCAGGTAGCTGTTTTTGAGTTAGCATCGCGAATGTTGAATGCGGCAAATCCGATAAGCACGTGGCGTACTTTTGTACGTTTCAAGCGTAATCAGCGCATCGAAAGCTTCATAACGAACCCTCTGAGCATGATCTGCTGTCCGCAACTGTCGACAATCAGCAGCAAATATCAATCAAATGTTTTCAATGTCGACATTTTGCGTAAACTTCACTCTGATATCAATACGTTCACAATGACTTCACCATAATATGTGCGTTCTTCTGAATGCGTTCCCAATTGTGTAGCCAATTTCTGCATAGATAACGATATCATTATCAACGACTCGATCCTCCGTTGTAATTCGTTCGTTTTAGAGGGTCATTTGCAGGTGTGATTAGAGTGAACACTCCGAGTTAATCGTATCTTCTTTAACGACAAATTATTCATTGGCCTTTGAACTCTTGCTATACATTCGGATATTTTGCTTCATGAAAGGAAGCATTACGCTTTTCCAGCTACCTGCTCGCCTCTTTTGAACAAAATGCGAAATGTCTGCATAAAATCTTGGAACAACTCTCAAATTGCAACCTTTCCATATATCTTGAAATATGATTTTTCAATTTTGATGCATACATTTCTCATTTATTCTTGCCATTCCTTGATGCGCTAGCATACCTCGTACGTTTATCATTATTATGAACATATTCGATTGTTTTGCAAATCGTTGTTTGCAATAAAGATATGCTTGAAACGCTGTGATTATTGTTTCGTTTCACCATATATAAATTGCGTATTTCATGTAATTTCAGTACACTAATCATATAATTATCAGTTTGATACATGTTTGAAAGACTCTCTACCTTAAATGAGCAAGTACTTAATGAGTAAAGTGCATGTTCCTTTTTTATTACCGGTTTCTTCAGTCGAATTCACTTTTCGCATTTATCATTTCTTTCTCAAGATTCACGCTAACTTGACCAACTTGTAGGTACAATATTTGCGTTTTGAATGCCTTCTTATTATAAAAGCAACAATTGACTCGTTTCATTTATTGTTGTGCTGTTAAATTACTTGATAACTTATTTCAATAAACAGTTGTTCATAGGCTATCAGCCGTTCCTAACAACCTCATTTGTCATCAACGACTTCATCCAGCATCTACAATCAAGAACACGGATACTAATGACTAGCACCGGAGAGAATTCGATTAATCATAAAAGATATTCTCTCAATTCAGTGACTCCATGAATTTAAAGCGTAAATTGCTGTTGAATGTTTGCTTCCATTTAGTGGATATAAAATTTTATGGGTTTGAATTCATTGTCATCAGTTAGACGGCCGCAAAAACTGCATCGAAAGATGACAAGTGGAGAACTTTTTAAAGTCTGAAAAATCGTATTAAATGGTGACTAAAGCTCACTTTATAACCTCCATCCAAAGGTAGTTAGTTCTTCGGATTTTCAACACGTCATGGAAGGACAGAAAAAAGTGACGAATAAGCTGAACATGCTCCCGTTCCTGTTGACGAGAAAATTTTTTTGATGATCAAATAAGCAAAAGGCAAAACTGCAGAGGATAACTACCATTCACCACTTCGATATTTTTTGATGGCTCTATAAAAGACCGTTCCATATACCGAAATAAATCCCATTCATGAAATGTCTAATTCACATGATGCTCGGTACCTTTAAATAAAGGCACGTGCTCTTTCAGAACTAAATATTATTCCTTCACAAACGACAAATTATGAGAGGCGCGCCCACAAGACCGCTTAGGCAACAATCACAGGGAGAAAGATGTTGAACCTAGGCCAGAAACAACTGCTCAGCCGAAATCCCAACCTGAGCCTGGCACTAATCTTAAGCCTGAAACGTAATATTAGATTGAATGGACAGACCATTTGAATTTCCTCCAGAAGCCGTGCTCTATGGATCTAGATGGATTAGCATTGGTTGACTGCCGTCATCCACCCATTTGGCTGAAAACTACGTTAGAGCACCTGTTACAAACACCCGATACTCCGATCACGCTCGATCGACTGCTGTAGGTATTTCATTAAAGCTATCTGAACTGGCGCTGAGGTGCTCATTGATATGCGTTTGATCACTGTAGATCAGTGCATATTATACATTAGTATAGAAATATGGGTACAAGATTGATGCTCATTCAAGCTTATTAACCTCACTTTGGGATTTACT